TAAATTCACTCTTAAAAAAGTGATCACAAATAATAGCTAAAAACGCCGAAAACTCAATATTTAAGGAGTTAGGGCCATTTTAAAGTTTCCAATATTTAACTTTTGAAAAAGTGATCACAAATAATAGTCAAAAACGCCGAAAACTCAATATTTAAGGAGTTATGGTCATTTTAAAATTTTTATAAATTCACTCTTGAAAAAGTGATCGCAAATAATATATAAAAACGTCGAAAACTCAATATTAAAGGAGTTATGGCCATTTTAAAGTTTTTTTAAATTCACTCTTAAAAAAGTGATCACAAATAATAGCTAAAAACGCCGAAAACTCAATATTTAAGGAGTTATGGCCATTTTAAAGTGTCCAATAATTCATGCTTCAAAAAGTGGTCACAAATAATAGCTAAAAACGCCGAAAACTCAATATTTAAGGAGTTATGGCCATTTTAAAGTTTTTATAAATTCACTCACAAATAATAGCTAAAAACGCCGAAAACTCAATATTTAAGGAGTTATGCCCATTTTTAATTTTTTATTAATTCTCTCTTGAAAAAGTGATCACAAATAATAGCTAAAAACGCTGAAAACTCAATATTTAAGGAGTTATGGCTATTTTAAAGTGTCCAATAATTCACTCTTGAAAAAGTGATCACAAATAATAGCCAAAAACGCCGAAAACTCAATATTTAAGGAGTTATAGCCATTTTAAAGTTTCCAATATTTCACTCTTGAAAAAGTGATCACAAATAATAGCCAAAAACGCGGAAAACTCAATATTTAAGGAGTTATGGCCATTTTAAAGTTTTTATAAATTCACTCTTAAAAAAGTGATCACAAATAATAGCTAAAAACGCCGAAAACTCAATATTTAAGGAGTTATGGCCATTTTAAAGTTTTTATACATTCATTCATAAAAAAGTGATCACAAATAATAGCTAAAAACGCCGAAAACTCAATATTTAAGAAGTTATGGCCATTTTAAAGTGTCCAATAATTCATGCTTCAAAAAGTGATAAAAAATAATCGCTAAAAACGCCGAAAACTCAATATTTAAGGAGTTATGGCCATTTTTAATTTTTTATTAATTCACTCTTGAAAAAGTGATCACAAATAATAGCTAAAAACGTCGAAAACTCAATATTTAAAGAGTTATGGCCATTTTAAAGTTTCCAATATTTCACTCTTGAAAAAGTGATCAAAAATAATCGCTAAAAACGCCGAAAACTCAATATTTAAGGAGTTTTTTATTTTAAAGTTTTTATAAATTCACTCTTAAAAAAGTGATCACACATAATAGCCAAAAACGCCCGAAAAATCAATATTTAAGGAGTTATGGCCATTTTAAAGTTTTTATAAATTCACTCTTGAAAAAGTGATCACAAATAATAGCTAAAAACGCCGAAAACTCAATATTTAAGGAGTTATGGCCATTTTAAAGTTTTTATAAATTCACTCTTAAAAAAGTGATCACAAATAATAGCTAAAAACGCCGAAAACTCAATATTTAAGAAGTGTCCAATTTAAAGTGTCCAATATTTCACTCTTGAAAAAGCGATCACAAATAATAGCTAAAAACGCCGAAAACTCAATAGTTAAGGAGTTATGGCCATTTTAAAGTTTTTATAAATTCACTCTTGAAAAAGTGATCACAAATAATATATAAAAACGTTGAAAACTCAATATTAAAGGAGTTATGGCCATTTTAAAGTTTTTTTAATTTCACTCTTAAAAAAGTGATCACAAATAATAACTAAAAACGCCGAAAACTCAATATTTAAGGAGTTATGGCCATTTTAAAGTGTCCAATAATTCACTCTAGAAAAAGTGATCACAAATAATAGCCAGAAACGCCGAAAACTCAATATTTAAGGAGTTATGGCCATTTTTAATTTTTTATGAATTCACTCTTGAAAAAGTGATCACAAATAACAGCTAAAAACGCCGAAAACTCAATATTTAAGGAGTTATGGCCATTTTAAAGTGTCCAATAATTCACTCTAGAAAAAGTGATCACAAATAATAGCCAGAAACGCCGAAAACTCAATATTTAAGGAGTTATGGCCATTTTTAATTTTTTATTAATTCACTCTTAAAAAGTGATCACAAATAATAGCCAAAAACGCCGAAAACTCAATATTTAAGGAGTTATGGCCATTTTAAAGTTTTTAAAAATTCACTCTTAAAAAAGTGATCACAAATAATAACTAAAAACGCTGAAAACTCAATATTTAAGGAGTTATGGCCATTTTAAAGTTTCCAATATTACACTTTTGAAAAAGTGATCACAAATAATAGTCAAAAACGCCGAAAACTCAATATTTAAGAAGTTATGGCCATTTTTAATTTTTTATGAATTCACTCTTGAAAAAGTGATCACAAATAACAGCTAAAAACGCCGAAAACTCAATATTTAAGGAGTTATGGCCATTTTAAAGTGTCCAATAATTCACTCTAGAAAAAGTGATCACAAATAATAGCCAGAAACGCCGAAAACTCAATATTTAAGGAGTTATGGCCATTTTTAATTTTTTATTAATTCACTCTTAAAAAGTAGTCACAAATAATAGCCAAAAACGCCGAAAACTCAATATTTAAGGAGTTATGGCAATTTTAAAGTTTTTATAAATTCACTCTTAAAAAAGTGATCACAAATAATAACTAAAAACGCCGAAAACTCAATATCTACGGAGTTATGGCTATTTTAAAGTTTCCAATATTTCACTCTTGAAAAAGTGATCACAAATAATAGCCAAAAACGCCGAAAACTCAATATTTAAGGAGTTATGGCCATTTTAAAGTTTTTATAAATTCACTCTTAAAAAAGTGATCACAAATAATAGATAAAAACGTCGAAAACTCAATATTAAAGGAGTTATGGCCATTTTAAAGTTTTTTTTTTTAAATTCACTCTTAAAAAAGTGATCACACATAATAGCGAAAAACGCCCGAAAAATCAATATTTAAGGAGTCATGGTTTTTTTTTAAATTCACTCTTAAAAAAGTGATCACAAATAATAGCTGAAAACGCCTGTTTGGGAGGAGAATGAAAATGCTCGTATGATGCTTGATTCGACACTGAATTTATTTTTTCATAATTCCATCTTAAGTGCTAGTTTACAAAATAATTCATAACCTTACACACTATCTAGCAACCCTTACTTTCTATTCAAGAATACATATGAATTGGTGATAGACCAACGCGACTCATCTTGCGTACATTGTCTTGCCTGCATATCTCTTGTGGGGGTCATAAAATCTTTATTACATGCTCATTATCTTATGCAGCAGGCAAACACAGCGTTGGGTAGATTATAATTTACAAAAACTATTAAACATAGTCGTACGTAAATAGTTCAATACAAAATTATCACTAAACTGAAGAGTAAATTCTATGTTGAGAAGAATGTAAGTACTTAGCATAAAGTAAACTAAAACTAAATAATATTTAGATAAGCGTGTGAAACACCAATTCCATTTCCACACACATGTTTGAGTCTTTCAAACATTCTGCGGGGGGGCAAAGTGAATAGATGCTACTCTTGTCGGTTTTATGCATCTTCTGATTGAACATATTAGAGCTATTATGCAGGCGGCTACCATGACCATTAGAGATAAGTGCCCGGAGATGTGATGAAAATTCAACCCTTTTAGATTAAGCTGTGAGACATCGATCGTTTTCAACTGAGACTCTATTTCCGCTAGCCTTGCTGAGTGATTTACCACCATCGGCCCTAAAGGCATGACCGAGAAATTAGACAGCCGGTTTATGTCTGCTACGAAAGATGATTTGTCTTCCACGACCTTCTTCGATGCAATATTGAAAGGTGTGGAAATTGTTGCTCCTTTTACCCTTAATGTACATCCTGGCTTCATCGTAATGATGCCTTGACTCGGTAGCTGGACTATTTGCTGTGAATCTCGACTGCAGGATACGTGAGCTGTTGTTGGTTGAAAAACTTTGAACAACCAGCGGTTGTTGGCTTGCAGCTTCGTCCATAGCGATTCCATCTTTGTCTCAGAGAACTGGCATCTCGGTGCATTTAGGGGCTTAAGAGAGTACACCTCACACGAATGGTCATTTGCGTCGACCCATGGCCAATTACCTTCGCAAACATATTCATCGTCAATGTACAGCTGGCACATGTTTAACTCAGCTTGCGTCATTATATGGTAGGCATCCCTGTGGAAATTATATATCAGATAATGTCCCGATGGCTGTGCTACAACTTTCCCACCGTTCAGCCTAATAGGTAGGGGGATGATCCGATGCAGCTGAGACGTGTGTTGCGTGAACAATGGAATATTAGCTGAAACCATCAGTCGGTCCTCAATTAATGCTGCCTTAGCAGTAAGAAGTTTGTATACCGCTCTAATTTGATCATACTTTTTTCCAGGAAATTTGAGGTGTTCAGGCATGTGCTCTCTTATCTTGGTCATTTCTTCCTGAAGTTGTAACGGCGTAATCAAGGCTGGATTGAGCTTCCCATGGTTAATGTCAATAAGCAGGTTTATCATACTCGACTGTACTCTTTCGTTCTCGCGAATTATTGCGTCCAAATCTTTGGTTACCATGAAAAACCGAATCGACTCTCTATAAACGAAGTATGACTCTTCCATAGCCGCCGTTATGTTGTTCATCTGATCCTGTATCTTCTTGAAGTTGGTATTTACATCTTCCATAGTAGTGCGCAGAATATTAATCGTAGATTCCACGACCGAGGTTTGTTTTTGCATCATAAACTTCAGGTTATATTGATTTTCCAATAAGTTTTGCAAGCTTTCTTCTATTTTTTTCCGATCTTCCGCATCCATAGTTCCGAATAGGACGTGCTGGAGTGACCCGATGAACTCTAATGGCGCTCGTTTGGGCCTCCTACTAGTGCTCGAGAACAAGAACTCGTTAGTGTCTTGTAGACTCCGAACCTGCCTCTCCATAGTTCTTAGAATATTGTCGCACTGCGGCTCGAATATCTGCAACTTTACGCATAGTGGCATCATCGTTTTTAACACGGTCTCGCATTTCTCCATGGATTCAAAAATGGAAGCATATTAAAAACTATGATCATGTTCCATTTCGAGGCTACAACATTCACTGATCCAACCTGGTCCAAATATAGTGCGGTTGACTCCTGCAGCTCCGTGATATTGGTTAAGCTGTCAGCGACCGTAGGTTTTACTTGAGTTAAAGCAAGAAGCAAAAGCACTAAGTAGCCTGCCAGATTGCCGGTTCTCTTTCCATTGGAGCTGTCACGTTTTTCATCAGTTTTTACGCCTTCTAATGGGCACAACTTGTTCACGGATCTCTTTATCAACCCTGCTTGGGTTTTTAAAGTGGCGACTCTTACTAACCCATCCGGTCCTGGATGGACATCTTCGACTTTACCTAACGGCCATCGTCCAGGATGTGTTTCCTCATTCTTAACTATCACCACTTGTCCCCTCTGTATATTCTTCTTTTCGGTTTTCCACTTGTACCGTTGTTGGAGTGTTTCTAGATAGTTTGATTTCCATTGCTTCCAAAAACAATTTTTCATTTTCTGCACTTGCTTCCAACGATCTAGGGCTGTAATCTTGTGTTCGTCGCTCGTTTCTGGATAGCTTATCAAGGGCCTTCCGATTAGAAAATGTCCAGGTGTGAGGACTTCCACCTCGCCAGCATTATCATCCATGTTATAAAGCGGCCTCGAATTTAACACGGCCTCGATCTGATATAAAAGCGTAGACATTTCTTCAAATGTCAATTTACTCTCACCAATAACTCTTCGTAAATGATATTTCATTGATTTAACAGCCGCTTCCCATATTCCTCCGAAGTGGGGACTTGCCGGGGGGATAAAATGCCACTGCACTCCTTCTGTCGCTAATATAGGTGCTAGTGCGTTATTCTCCTTCATGGCGGCCTTTAAATCTCTATCCAAATGTTTAACTGTTCCAACAAAATTTGTGCCGTTGTCAGAATATATATGACTACTTTTACCTCTTCTGGCAAACAAGCGCTTTAGGGCCGCCAGAAATGCTTCTGACGTCAAACTGCTAACCGGTTCCAAATGAATTGCCTTTGTTGTCATGCAAATAAATACCGCAATGTATCCTTTATATGTTTTCTGGCCTCTGCCATTTGAACACTTCATGTATATTGGTCCTGCATAGTCTACACCACAATGTGTAAACGGTGCAGATACATTAACTCTATATTCTGGTAACATTCCCATTAGCTGGCATTGTTTTTCTCGTTTATATCGTATACATTTGACGCAACCCCGATTCAGCCGTTTTACGTTGTTTTTCAACCCAATAATCCAAAATTTTCTTTTTAGCAAATGTTCCACTATCCGATTTCCACCATGGAGCGTTTTCACATGTGCGTCCTTGATAATTAGATCACTCAGCTCTGATTTATTGAGTATTATGGGATGTTTACGATTATACGCCAGCGAAGCTAACTGTAATCGACCTCCAACTCTCAACACGCCATTCTCGTCTAAAAAGGGATTTAATGAAGCCAGCTTGTGTTTGTGATCAATCGGCGTATTATTTTTTAGTCTCGTGACAATTTCTGGAAATTCTTGTTGTTGATGGCCTTTTATTAAAAACATTTCTGCAGCTCGTAATTCTTCCACAGTCAAGTAATCTGGAAAGTTTTTTCCGCGTAGCTTTGCGATATATCTGAGCACATACGCTATCACTCGCTTAAGTCGTGTAAACGATGAATAATCTTTTACCATATGATTGAAATAGTTGGGACCGCTGTTCGCATTTGTGACGGCCACATTGACATACACAGGTTCCTTTGTATCCCAGCTCTCTTCATCTCGCATTAACCACGACGGACCATTCCACCAGAGATTATTCTCTGGTAACTTGTCTGCTGATATCCCTCTGGATCCCATGTCTGCCGGATTTTCCTTTGATTTTACATATTGCCATTTGGCTGCTGGTACCCATTGTTGAATCTCCTTCACTCTTGTCCTTATAAATCGATCTTTACTAGAACTATTACGTATCCATGACAGCGCTATCGACGAATCACTCCACATAAATACATTTGCTTCTATTGACAAAATTTTCATAACCTTTGTCATAAGTTTCGCTAATAAATTCGCCGCACACAACTCTAGTTTTGGTAACGTCTTCCTATTTTTAATGGGATTGACTTTGCTTTTAGCTGCTACTAGCTGAACAACTCCATTCACTTTAACATAAACTACGGCTGCATAAGCCTTTTCCGATGCATCCGCGAATCCATGCAGTTGTGCTTCAGTTGAGCTGGATACGTGCAACCATCGAGGTATTCGAATCGAAATCAGTGAGTTTAGCTTACTCGTGAACCCTCTCCTTCACTGTTAATGTTTTATACTGCTGACATTGGTGAATCTTGTGCCCAAAACTTTTGCAATAACCGCATTTTATTTGATTTTCTTCGCTGTTTGTTGCTGCCACTTCAAAACTGTATTGTCGCTTGAATCTCTGCTTATCTCCATCATCTATAGACCAAACTGAATTCAAAGTTTGATATCTTTGCTCCAAGAATTTTAGAACGTCGTTGATATCTTGAATTTCCGTACACTTTTGTATTGTCTGTTCATATTGTAAAAGAGTCTCTTTATCCAATTTGCGCACTATTATGTGTGCCAGAATTGGGTATGCATCTCCCAGTTTCAAATTCATGGATTTGATTCCCTCAATGCTCTCTATAGCTGTATCCAATAACTTCTTGATACTGTGCACTGATGATCCATTAATTTTTGGCACATCTAATAGGCTGTCCACATAATGTGTGAATAGAGTCCTTTTATTGTCGTACCTTTTACGTAATGCTTCCAAAGCCCCTTCATATGCTGAACTGGTTAACGGCATGTTTTGAATAATCTGCAGTGCATCCCCCTTCAAAGCTGACCGTAGACGAAACAGCTTCTCTTGATCTGAGTCATTTTTATCTTCGTGCACTAATGTGCGGAATAATTCATAAAATGAGTTCCAATCTTCACGACGTCCACTAAACTCTGGAATTTTTATTTTTTCGACCATTACGGATTTTCTTTGTGCCGCTTCTAAAGATGTCAACAATTCTGTTATTTGCATCTGAGCTTTGTTGAAATCTTCTCCGGACTGTTCCCACTGATCTTCCGTAAAGTCATTTCCTGCACCTTCTCTCGCCATTTCTGATCGAATGTCGAGCAGTCTGTTCATCTGGACTTCCAGTCTCTCAAGCAGTTTTGTTAAATATATCTTGTCTTTCTTGGTTTCGACCAGTTTTATCATAGAATTTAATTCTGCTACGTTAGAATTAAATTGATTTTCTAATGATCTTGCTAGTTTGTTGTGATTTTCATTTGTCACTTCACCAATTTCCATTAATTTGAATGATAACTGCGGTGCATTTAAACTATGTTCTTGTGGACTTGAATCTCCTTGTTGTGGACTTATTTTAACGGTGTGGGATTCTTCTGCTTCTGCATCATTTAAAATCTTCCATATGTCCTCTTTCATCTTTTGTGCAATTTCATACGCTTTCTCCTTATAATACGGGTCATTTTCATTCTTATCGTCCCTTTTTTTGAGTGCCTCATCATTTCTGCAGAATGTTTCCCATTGTTCTAGCACCTTCTTACGCATGTCTGGTATGGTATTACTGCGATATTTCCTACCTCGCGCCGTCTGCAACATAGCATCTAACACTTTGAAGATTGTGTATTGTTGAGAGTACATTTCTTGGCAACTAGGCATTTTGATAAGTCCTTTTAAAAATGTTGTTGTAGTTGATCGATGTTTAATTAATTTTTTTTTTGTAGATATTTTTTTTTGTTTGCGATTGTTGATCAATGTTGTTGTTGAGTTTTGTAGATTGTTATATTGTGGTTGGTGAGTTGTTTAACTGCTGTTACCACACTTGATGTTGATGTTGTTAAAGTTGTTTGTTCCTAATGTTGAATAGTTTTTGATTGTTGTTGATTCGATTTTTGATGTTTGCTAGTTCCTTCACTTTCGCTAAAGTGAGCGCTCGATGGACCAAATGTTTGGGAGGAGAATGAAAATGCTCGTATGATGCTTGATTCGACACTGAATTTATTTTTTCATAATTCCATCTTAAGTGCTAGTTTACAAAATAATTCATAACCTTACACACTATCTAGCAACCCTTACTTTCTATTCAAGAATACATATGAATTGGTGATAGACCAACGCGACTCATCTTGCGTACATTGTCTTGCCTGCATATCTCTTGTGGGGGTCATAAAATCTTTATTACATGCTCATTATCTTATGCAGCAGGCAAACACAGCGTTGGGTAGATTATAATTTACAAAAACTATTAAACATAGTCGTACGTAAATAGTTCAATACAAAATTATCACTAAACTGAAGAGTAAATTCTATGTTGAGAAGAATGTAAGTACTTAGCATAAAGTAAACTAAAACTAAATAATATTTAGATAAGCGTGTGAAACACCAATTCCATTTCCACACACATGTTTGAGTCTTTCAAACAACGCCGAAAACTCAATATTTAAGGAGTTATGGCCATTTTAAAGTTTTTATAAATTCACTCATAAAAAAGTGATCACAAATAATAGCTAAAAACGCCGAAAACTCAATATTTAAGAAGCTATGGCCATTTTAGTGTCCAATAATTCATGCTTCAAAAAGTGATACAAAAAATAATCGCTAAAAACGCCGAAAACTCAATATTTAAGGAGTTATGGCCATTTTTAATTTTTTATTAATTCACTCTTGAAAAAGTGATCACAAATAATAGCTAAAAACGCCGAAAACTCAAGATTTAAAGAGTTATGGCCATTTTAAAGTTTCCAATATTTCACTCTTGAAAAAGTGAACACAAATAATAGCTAAAAACGCCGAAAACTCAATATTTAAGGAGTTATGGCCATTTTAAAGTATCCAATAATTCATGATTCAAAAAGTGATAAAAAATAATCGCTAAAAACGCCGAAAACTCAATATTTAAGGAGTTATGGTCATTTTTAATTGTTTATAAATGCACTCTTAAAAAAGTGATCACAAATAATAGCCAAAAACGCCGAAAACTCAATATTTAAGGAGTTATGGCCATTTTAAAGTTTTTTTAATTCACTCTTAAAAAAGTGATCACAAATAATAGCTAAAAACGCCGAAAACTCAATATTTAAGGAGTTATGGCCATTTTAAAGTTTTTATAAATTCACTGATAAAAAAGTGATCACAAATAATAGCTAAAAACGCCGAAAACTCAATAATTAAGAAGTCATGGCCATTTTAAAGTGTCCAATAATTCATGCTTCAAAAAGTGATAAAAAATAATCGCTAAAAACGCCGAAAACTCAATATTTAAGGAGTTATGGCCATATTTAATTTTTTATTAATTCACTCTTGAAAAAGTGATCACAAATAATAGCTAGAAACGCCGAAAACTCAAGATTTAAGGAGTTATGGCCATCTTAAAGTTTCCAATATTTCACTCTTGAAAAAGTGATCACAAATAATAGCTAAAAACGCCGAAAACTCAATATTTAAAGAGTTATGGCCATTTTAAAGTGTCCAATAATTCATGCTTCAAAAAGTGGGCACAAATAATAGCTAAAAACGCCGAAAACTCAATATTTAAGGAGTTATGGCCATTTTAAAGTTTTTATAATTTCACTCTTAAAAAAATGATCACAAATAATAGCTAAAAACGCGGAAAACTCAAAATTTAAGGAGTTATGGCCATTTTAAAGTGTCCGAAAATTCACTCTTGAAAAAGTGATCACAAATAATAGCTAAAAACGCCGAAAACTCAATATTTAAGGAGTTATGGCCATTTTAAAGTTTTTATAAATTCACTCATAAAAAAGTGATCACAAATAATAGCTAAAAACGCCGAAAACTCAATATTTAAAAAGCTATGGCCATTTTAAAGTGTCCAATAATTCATGCTTCAAAAAGTGATAAAAAATAATCGCTAAAAACGCCGAAAACTCAATATTTAAGGAGTTATGGCCATTTTTAATTTTTTATTAATTCACTCTTGAAAAAGTGATCACAAATAATAGCTAAAAACGCCGAAAACTCAAGATTTAAAGAGTTATGGCCATTTTAAAGTTTCCAATATTTCACTCTTGAAAAAGTGATCACAAATAATAGCTAAAAACGCCGAAAACTCAATATTTAAGGAGTTAAGGCCATTTTAAAGTATCCAATAATTCATGATTCAAAAAGTGATAAAAAATAATCGCTAAAAACGCCGAAAACTCAATATTTAAGGAGTTATGGTCATTTTTAATTTTTTATTAATTCACTCTTGAAAAAATGATCACAAATAATAGCTAAAAACGCCGAAAACTCAATATTTAAGGAGTTAAGGCCATTTTAAAGTATCCAATAATTCATGCTTCAAAAAGTGATCAAAAATAATCGCTAAAAACGCCGAAAACTCAATATTTAAGGAGTTATGGTCATTTTTAATTGTTTATTAATTCACTCTTGAAGAAGTGATCACAAATAATAGCCAAAAACGCCGAAAACTCAATATTTAAGGAGTTATGGCCATTTTAAAGTTTTTTTTAATTCACTCTTAAAAAAGTGATCACAAATAATAGCTAAAAACGCCGAAAACTCAATATTTAAGGAGTTATGGCCATTTTAAAGCTTTTATAAAATCACTCATAAAAAAGTGATCACAAATAATAGCTAAAAACGCCGAAAACTCAATAATTAAGAAGTCATGGCCATTTTAAAGTGTCCAATAATTCATGCTTCAAAAAGTGATAAAAAATAATCGCTAAAAACGCCGAAAACTCAATATTTAAGGAGTTATGGCCATATTTAATTTTTTATTAATTCACTCTTGAAAAAGTGATCACAAATAATAGCTAAAAACGCCGAAAACTCAAGATTTAAAGAGTTATGGCCATTTTAAAGTTTCCAATATTTCACTCTTGAAAAAGTGATCACAAATAATAGCTAAAAACGCCGAAAACTCAATATTTAAGGAGTTAAGGCCATTTTAAAGTATCCAATAATTCACTCTTGAAAAAGTGATCACAAATAATAGCTAAAAACGCCGAAAACTCAATATTTAAGGAGTTAAGGCCATTTTAAAGTATCCAATAATTCATGATTCAAAAGTGATAAAAAATAATCGCTAAAAACGCCGAAAACTCAATATTTAAGGAGTTATGGTCATTTTTAATTTTTTATTAATTCACTCTTGAAAAAATGATCACAAATAATAGCTAAAAACGCCGAAAACTCAATATTTAAGGAGTTAAGGCCATTTTAAAGTATCCAATAATTCATGCTTCAAAAAGTGATCAAAAATAATCGCTAAAAACGCCGAAAACTCAATATTTAAGGAGTTATGGTCATTTTTAATTGTTTATTAATTCACTCTTGAAAAAGTGATCACAAATAATAGCCAAAAACGCCGAAAACTCAATATTTAAGGAGTTATGGCCATTTTAAAGTTTTTTTTAATTCACTCTTAAAAAAGTGATCACAAATAATAGCTAAAAACGCCGAAAACTCAATATTTAAGGAGTTATGGCCATTTTAAAGCTTTTATAAATTCACTCATAAAAAAGTGATCACAAATAATAGCTAAAAACGCCGAAAACTCAATAATTAAGAAGTCATGGCCATTTTAAAGTGTCCAATAATTCATGCTTCAAAAAGTGATAAAAAATAATCGCTAAAAACGCCGAAAACTCAATATTTAAGGAGTTATGGCCATATTTAATTTTTTATTAATTCACTCTTGAAAAAGTGATCACAAATAATAGCTAAAAACGCCGAAAACTCAATATTTAAGGAGTTATGGCCATTTTAAAGTTTTTATAAATTCACTCATAAAAAAGTGATCACAAATAATAGCTAAAAACGCCGAAAACTCAATATTTAAAAAGCTATGGCCATTTTAAAGTGTCCAATAATTCATGCTTCAAAAAGTGATAAAAAATAATCGCTAAAAACGCCGAAAACTCAATATTTAAGGAGTTATGGCCATTTTTAATTTTTTATTAATTCACTCTTGAAAAAGTGATCACAAATAATAGCTAAAAACGCCGAAAACTCAAGATTTAAAGAGTTATGGCCATTTTAAAGTTTCCAATATTTCACTCTTGAAAAAGTGATCACAAATAATAGCTAAAAACGCCGAAAACTCAATATTTAAGGAGTTAAGGCCATTTTAAAGTATCCAATAATTCACTCTTGAAAAAGTGATCACAAATAATAGCTAAAAACGCCGAAAACTCAATATTTAAGGAGTTATGGTCATTTTTAATTTTTTATTAATTCACTCTTGAAAAAATGATCACAAATAATAGCTAAAAACGCCGAAAACTCAATATTTAAGGAGTTAAGGCCATTTTAAAGTATCCAATAATTCATGCTTCAAAAAGTGATCAAAAATAATCGCTAAAAACGCCGAAAACTCAATATTTAAGGAGTTATGGTCATTTTTAATTGTTTATTAATTCACTCTTGAAAAAGTGATCACAAATAATAGCCAAAAACGCCGAAAACTCAATATTTAAGGAGTTATGGCCATTTTAAAGTTTTTTTTTAATTCACTCTTAAAAAAGTGATCACAAATAATAGCTAAAAACGCCGAAAACTCAATATTTAAGGAGTTATGGCCATTTTAAAGCTTTTATAAATTCACTCATAAAAAAGTGATCACAAATAATAGCTAAAAACGCCGAAAACTCAATAATTAAGAAGTCATGGCCATTTTAAAGTGTCCAATA